ATACTTTTCATAGCGCACCTTCATGTTTCGGATCTTGTCCTTCAGATCAACATTACTACGGTCCTGTAGAACTGCACCATCTGAATGTTCCTTATCCATCAGCTGCAGGATCCTCCATTTTGGCCCATACTCGACAAATAGCTGGAGAAGACGTCTCTCCTCCTCCTCAGACCACATGCGTCGGGGCGGCAGTGGGCTACCATCACGGCGAGTGGTGGCTGGCCTCCGCAGCTGGGTTGCCCTGGGGGGAAGAGATGGTGGAGGTGCTGGTGATGAGTGCAGCTGCTCTGAGGATAAGAGCGGGTCAACACTCTGCTGATGAGACGGCAAATCCAATGAATGTGAGGGTTCTGATGATGATGATGATGATGCTGACTGCATAGAGATATGGTGATCTTTATCCTTGAGGGGTAATGGCTGTTCTGGGGCGTGGTCATCTTCACTATAGAATGACTCGGAGTAGGGCTGGAATAATAATGAAGAAGAACCATCCTCATCATTTAAAGATCCAGTGGGATTGGAGAATGCCGTCTGCTGTCTATGGCCCTGCCTATGGCCCTGCCTATGGCCCTGCCTATGGCCCTGCCTATGGCCCTGCCTATGGCCCTGCCTATGGCCCTGCCTATGGCCCTGTCTAGTCCACTGGGGAGTATCCCTATTGACTCTGACTGACTCTGGAGGAGCCCGGCCATGATGCCTCCATGATCTTTTGATCTTTGAAGAGTCATCTTCAATCAAGGAGTTCAAGGGTCGCTCTCGCTTCCGTGATCCAGCATGGTGTTGCATTTCTACATGCTGGCTTTGACATTCAGATAGCCTCATCGATCCAGGGTGTTTATTTTGATAACTTAGAGCCATAGGTTGAGTCTGCCTGTGTGATGCTGTCTGTTCAGATGAATGCTCACTGTGTTCTACTTCTAGATACACTGGGCTTCTATCCCGACGCTTCCGACTGAGATGTTGACGCGAATGCTTCACCTGTCTCGATATAGGGATCCCGGTAGGTCTATCCAACAGGTGGGGGTGGAATGGACGTCCATTCCATTTAGGGTTAGAAAACCTTAGAAAACCGACCAATCAGAGCAGGGCAGATTGGGCGTACATTCCATTTGGTTTCAGACGTTGAACGTCTAATCAACCACGGAGTCAATTGACTTCAAACTTTGCATGTAGGCCGTAGTGGATATGAAATACAACATATCCAAATCAAAAGCGATAATTCCGCCGGGAAGGGGTTACATTGTGGTGTCAAAGTCAATGAGTTGAGGTGCGATGTTTGATGGGGTAAGCCATCAACCCAACCAGACCCAACTAAATATCTATATTTTCACCCAGGCAACGGAGCGGTGCAAAGCGGTGCAGGATCAACAAAGTAAATAAAAATAGCAAAACATATAAGAAAACTGAAAGGCTTCATTCTGGAGTGATTTTAAACACAGAAAAACAAACATTCACACCAGATCAGATCCGTCAAGTTTCACACAAAGACACTGAATGAAGGAAATATATATATATTCAATGCACAAGACAGACCCATCATCGACATGGAACATCAATTATTTGTCCACTGTGAATCATACCTCATTATCATATGCCGCCGGTGCAAGCACGCTGTGTGGCCAACAGAGATTGAACAGCATCTGAAAGGCAAGGCCCATCAGCTAAAGCATGCGGTGGTTCAGCAGATAAAGGAGAACATTGAACAGTGGGACAATGTGGCTCGAGATACTACACAGTTAACACTGCCCACATACTACACAGTTAACACTGCCCACAATACTGAATGAACCAATCCCGGAACTACCCATTCAAGATGGCTACAGGTGCCAGCGGGATCCCCAGTGCCAGTATGTGGCAGGGAACATGAACACCATGCGCAAGCACTGGCAGAACAAGCACAGCTGGTCGCCATATCCCAGCCGTGGCCGTACAGCGCCACAAAAGCGTACGGCAGCACAGGATGAGGTGGACAGATCATGCCAGAAGGTGCAGTTCCAGCAGGTATTTGCATCGCGCAAGGGCTCCCACTACATACAGATCCAGACTAAGGAGACTACTGAGCACACCGGCACGCCAGACCAGAACAGAGCCAGCCATGTCATTGATGAGCTGGAGCGGTTTGACCGGGAACAGCAACGGCAGACCAGCAATGTCATCCAGGCCGGGGAGCACGATGAAGCCAACCCATGGCTGCGGCGGACCAGATGGCCGGTGTACTTGACCAACATCGCACCCAATGATCTGGTCAACTGCGTGCAGCGGCCCGACGATGACACCACGTGCCCAGATGAACTGGCCGCGAGGGCCATCTGGGAGGCCATGGGTCAGGTTGCCCGTACCAGCCAGCGAGTCATCACACGGCTGGGTCACTTCGTCCGCATCGAGGCCATCCGCACAGAGCGACACCAGACCCGGCACACCCCGTTGCAGGCGTACATGGACGAGGAGAGCATCGCCGAGCACGTGAGGCCATGGCAGCAGATGTTGATGTTTTTCGCCCGAACGCAGGTCGAGCATGAATGGACGAGCCCACAGTACCAGTTCACACCACGGTAGCCACCACAGAGAGAGCCGACCAGCGACACTCCATCAGCCCAGACCCCATGAATGAGCAGATGACTGAGGAAGAAGAAGAGGAGGAGGAGGTGGAGGAGGAGGAGGAGGAGAAGAGACAGAGAGATACCCAGTCAGAAGAAGAAGATAAGTTCAAATTAGTCAAGATTCAGATGGCATGTTTGGATTTTTGCATTGAGCTGCTGAACCAGTGGGTTCAGATGGAGGATTATGAGTGCGCGCTGATAGACACGTTGGCGGTGCTGGGACGGGGGGAGTATGGATGGTGCGACGCGAAGAGCTACCCACCAATATTGTCACGGATCAAGAAGAAGATAAGTTCAAATTAACCAAGATCCAGATGGCATGTTTGGATTTTTGCATTGAGCTGCTGAACCAGCGGGTTCAGGTGGAGGATTATGAGTGCGCGCTGGTAGACGCGTTGGCGGTGCTGGGACGGGGGTTGTATGGATGGTGCGACGCGGAGAGCTACCCACCAATGTTGTCACGGATCATCAAGGTGGCACGGTTCATGGTGGTGCACAAGGCGCTGCGACTGGACGCCAATGCATCCGACATGCTGGCCAGGAACCAAGCAAGCCAGATGGTGGGAGAGTGGGCCGTGGTGAGCCCCATGGAGGAGGCGGATTACACGTTCACAGGCAATCAGAATGAAGGGTAATCAGTGAAGACATCAGAGGCATCCCATCAACAATCAGACAGACATTCCACAAACAGAATGTCCATCAAGGCCGGTTCATCATCACACATCAGCAGCGAGGGCAGAGGGCATTGATGGATGAGGAGGTTTTAGTGGAAGAGGCGCAGAGGTGGAAGGATCAGTGTTTGATATGTGCAAGTGGCAAGCGGGAGTTTGACCATGAGCTGTACCAGTGTCCCCACGAGGAGAGCCAGGAGGCAAAGAGATGGATGATGACAGTGCGGAGCAAGATCAAATACACACAGTATTCCGGGTGCTTCCGATGCGGGATGCCGCAGTCCATATGCAACAGCTGGAAGACACAGAGGCAGTGTCCGTACAGGGGATTTTTGATCCCGACAGTGGCAATGATGATGTATGGGTGTCACAGCAGCTGAGGGAGTTCAATGTGAATGCAGATGATCAGGAGGCGGTGATTGAATTTTTGAGACAGAAGGTTGAGGGGCAGGGCATCGAGCACAACCAGCTGATGGAGATGTTTTGTTGGCTGCGAGGGATATATCAGGAGGCAGAGAGGGGGAAGATCGAGTCAGAGGGTACAGGGGTCAAGTGATATCACAGGTGAGGGGCACCACAGGGGGATGAAAGACGTATATATATATAAAGGCAGGTGAAGCAAGAGACAGAGGGTAAAGGGATATAACATCAAGAGAAAGTAGATCAGGTTCAAAGGATCAGTTTCAAACAGTATCATCCCATATGATAATGGGTCAGGGTCAGGGTTACAAAGAGTGAGGGTAGAGGCTGGGGGGAAGAATGAGGTGGTCAGAGTCAGGGTTAGGGTTGAAAAAGAGTGAGGCTAGAGACAGGGGTGGGCAGTGAGGTCAGAATTGGTTAAATTGAGCACAAACCCGTTAACCCATTGGAAGTCAAACACGTTGGACCCAAACCCGTTGGACGTCGAAGCCGTTGGATGAGCGCATTAACCCGTTGGAAGTCGAACACGCTGGACATTAACCCGTTGGACGTCGAACCCGTCCCAGGAGCGCATTAACCCGATGGAAGTCGAACACGGTGGACCCAAACCCGTTGGATGAACCCATCAACCAGTTGGACGTCAAACCCGTCCCAGGAGCGCATTAACCCGTTGGATGTCGAACCCGTCCAAGGAGCGCATTAACCCGTTGGAAGTCGAACACGCTGGACCCAAACCCGTTGGATGTCGAACCCGTTGGATGAGGAAGTCGAACAGGCTGGACCCAACCCGTTGGACGTCAAACCCGTCCAAGGAGCCCATTCACCCATTGGACCCGAACCCGTTGGATGAACCCATCAACCCGTTGGACGTCGAACCCGTTGGACGATTATATCAGAAGGTAGAGGGGGGGAAGATCGAGTCAGGGGCATAGAGGTCAAATGACATCACAGATGAGAGGCAGATGTTGACGAGCACCACATAGAGATAAAAGATATATGCATATATAAAGATCGATGAAGCAAGAGGAAAAGGAGCAAAAAGAAAGAGGGTAAAGAGATATAATATAGCTAGATCAGGTTCAAAAATATGGGAGTTTTAAAGAGCATTATCCCATACAATAATGGGCCAGGGTTAGGGTTACAAAGAGTGAGGGTAGAGGCTGGGGGGGAGGATGAGGTGGTCAGAGTCAGGGTTAGAGTGAGGGGTGTTCAGGGGTCGAACCCGTTGAACGAACCCGTTAACCCGTTGGACCCAAACCAGTGGGATGAAACCATTTAAAAGTCAAACCCGCTGGACATGCCCGTTGAAGGTTATAGGGTTAGGGTTAAACTATCCAAGTTATACATAGTGCGTGGTCCGACGCGCCCCCGTCCGATTTTCTCCGTCCCTGATTGGCCGCCCGTGCGTGCTCCCGCTCCCGCCTCCGCGTGCCCGCAGTGGCCCGGTCGCGGTCGAGCTCCCTCTTCCCTATCCAACAGGTGGGGGTGGAATGGACGTCCATTCCATTTAGGGTTAGAAAACCTTAGAAAACCGACCAATCAGAGCAGGGCAGATTGGGCGTACATTCCATTTGGTTTCAGACGTTGAACGTCTAATCAACCACGGAGTCAATTGACTTCAAACTTTGCATGTAGGCCGTAGTGGATATGAAATACAACATATCCAAATCAAAAGCGATAATTCCGCCGGGAAGGGGTTAAATTTTAGTGTCAAAGTCAATGAGTTGAGGTGCGATGTTTGATGGGGTAAGCCATCAACCCAACCAGACCCAACTAAATATATATATTTTCACCCCAGGCAACGGAGCGGCGCAAAGCGGTGCAAGATCAACAAAGTAAATAAAAATAGCAAAATATATAAAAAAACGGAAAGGCTTCATTCTGGAGTGATTTTAATCACAGAAAAACAAACATTAGTCGAACACGCTGGACCCAAACCCGTTGGACGTCAAACCCGTCCAAGGAGCCCATTCACCCATTGGACCCGAACCCGTTGGATGAACCCATCAACCCGTTGGAAGTCGAGCACGCTGGACGATTATATCAGAAGGTAGAGGGGGGGGTTCAAAAATATTGGAGTTTTAAAGAGCATTATCCCATACAATAATGGGGCCAGGGTTAGGGTTACAAAGAGTGAGGGTAGAGGCTGGGGTGGAGGATGAGGTGGTCAGAGTCAGGGTTAGAGTGAGGGGTGTTCAGGGAGGTCAAGGTCAGGGTAACCCATTGGAAGTCAAACCCGTTGGACCCAAACCCGTTGGACGTCGAAGCCGTTGGATGAGCGCATTAACCCGTTGGACGTCAAACCCGTTGGACGTCAAACCCGTTGGACGTCAAACCCGTTGGATGAGGAAGTCGAACACGCTGGACCCAAACCCGTTGGACGTCAAACCCGTTGGACGTCAAACCCGTCCCAGGAGCGCATTAACCCGTTGGGAGTTGAACACGCTGGACCCAACCCGTTGGACGTCGAACCCGTCCCAGGAGCGCATTAACCCGTTGGGAGTTGAACACGCTGGACCCAAACCCGTTGGATGTCGAACCCGTTGGATGAGGAAGTCGAACACGCTGGACCCAACCCGTTGGACGTCAAACCGGTTGGACGTCAAACCCGTCCAGGAGCGCATTAACCCGTTGGGAGTTGAACACGCTGGACCCAAACCCGTTGGACGTCAAACCCGTCCCAGGAGCGCATTAACCCGTTGGACCCGAACCCGTTGGATGAACCCATCAACCCGTTGGACGTCGAACCGGTTGGATGAGGAAGTCGAACACGCTGGACCCAACCCGTTGGACGTCAAACCCGTCCCAGGAGCGCATTAACAGGTTGGACGTCGAACCCGTCCCAGGAGCGCATTAACCCGTTGGGAGTTGAACACGCTGGACCCAAACCCGTTGGATGTCGAACCCGTCCAAGGAGCGCATTAACCCGTTGGAAGTCGAACACGCTGGACACAAACCCGTTGAACGTCAAACCCGTTGGACGTCGAACCCGTCCAAGGAGCGCATTAACCCGTTGGAAGTCGAACACGCTGGACACAAACCCGTTGAACGTCAAACCCGTTGGACGTCAAACCCGTCCCAGGAGCGCATTAACCCGTCGGGAGTCGAACACGCTGGACCCAAACGCGTTGGATGTCGAACCCGTCCAAGGAGCGCATTAACCCGTTGGAAGTCGAACACGCTGGACACAAACCCGTTGAACGTCAAACCCGTTGGACGTCAAACCCGTCCCAGGAGCGCATTAAACCCCGTTGGGAGTTTGAACACGCTGGACCCAAACCCGTTGTACGTTTAAACCCGTTGGGACGTCAAAACCCGTTGGACGTCAAACCCCGTTGGATGAGGAAGTCGAACACGCTGGACCCCAACCCCGTTGGACGTCAAACCCGTTGGATGAGGGAGTCGAACACGCTGGACCCAACCCCGTTGGGACGTCGAACCCATCCTAGGAGCGCATTAACCCCATTTGGAGCCCAACTCGGTGGGACGCCCAAACCCGGTCCCAAGAAGCGCATATAACCCCATTGGAACCCGAACCCCGT